TCTGACCTTATTAGGTTTAAGGGGAACTTACCCATAAGCTGGTAGAGAGTTGTATTGTTTAGCAAAGAACATCAATGAAAAATGTTTTTGCAAGCTAGAAAATCCACTTTAAAATGTGTTTACTGCTGAAACCGGTTTGGTTCAGTGAATAGAGCGTCGGCCTGCAGACTGAAGGGTCCCAGGTTCGATTCCGGTCAAGGGCATGTACCTTGGTTACGGGCACATCCCCAGTAGGGGACGTGCAAGAGACAGCTGATCAATGACTCTCTCTCATTGATGTTTCTAACTATCTCTCTCTCTTCCTCTCTGTAAAAAATCAATATATTAAAAAAAAATGTGTATACTTAGGAATTTAAAAATGTATATAAAGATGATGTACAAAATTACTGCTCAGCTGCTAACACTTAGTTCAAGGTGTTTTGCCCTGTCTTCTTCATTTTTCCTAGGAAAGGCCCTTAATTATGCAAAAGAGCTACCAGTTGTATGCCAAAGTTATGAATATATAACCACACATACTAGAACTTCTAAAGTACAGTGTTTTTAATCTCATGCCACAAAATTTTGTTTTCTGCTAAACTATACTTCAAAAACAGTTAATATGGTATAATATTAGCAGCCTAATATTTCTATGAGAATGCAATTTTTGGCCTTTTAAAATTTACATGTTTATGTTATAAATATTAAAAACGCTTAAGAGAGGTTTCTAAATTTAGTTCAAAGAATGACAAAGTCTTTGTGTGTTTGCTATTTGCTCCTTTCTTCCTTCCATTTCTGTGCAGAGAAACATTTTTTTCACAAAGAAAAACTAAATGTCTTCTCACCTTTCCTCACCCCCAAACAAACTGCTCCTATAAACCAAAACCAAACACCAAAAGTAATTGTATCCATATGTGTTGTCATGGGTATAAAGTAAGAAGTGGCATGCATCTTAGGCAGCTCTAGGCCATGCTGTCATAATGACATGTCTCTTGTGATACTGGTTCTTTGAATGATTAAATGGTAGTTCAGATATTTGAATGACGTCATTCCATTGCAGCTCCTCTGCCTATTTTGCTTTCATACAGCAAATGTGTTAAAAATTTAAGTCCCAGCTTGAACTTTTCTTTATGCTGAGATCAGCCCTGTGGATTGCTTCATTATACAGTGCCTGCAGGGGTGGCACTTCCGGGCAGGCGGCCAGCACTCTCGGGTCAGCAGGAACTATTTTTGCTCAATTTATAAAGCAAAAGGGATTCGGTTGACTGATAAGGACCAACTCTGCAAGAATTAATGCTAACCACAGTGGTGATTATTCACAGCTTGCCCATCTTCCTGACAAAATAAAACATTCCCCAGAGATTATGTCTCTCTCCTTTTTTATTTTTTTAAAAATATATATTTTTATTGATTTCAGAGAGGAAGGGAGAGAGAGATAGAAATATCAGTGATGAGAGAGAGTCATAAATAGGCTGCCTCCTGCACACCCCCGACGGGATGGAGCCTGCAACCCAGGCATGTGCCCTTGACCGGAATCGAACCTGGGACCCCTCAGTCTGCAGGCTGATGCTCTATCCACTGAGTCAAGCCTGCCAGGGCTGTTTCTCTCCTTTAAATGAAAGCATCCAGACTGATGAATGTCTGAGGGAAGGGGATTATATATATATATCCCAGTGACACAGACAACGTCAGTGAAGGCCTGGATGGGGGTGTGTGGAGTGGAGGGGGTCAATGGGGAAAAAGGGAGGGACAACTGTAATACTTTTAACAATAAATTTTTAAATATATTTTATTGATTTTTTTACAGAGAGGAGGGGAGAGGTATAGAGAGTTAGAAACACAGATGAGAAACATCCATCAGCTGCTTCCTACTGGGGATGTGCCTGCAACCAAGGGACATGCCCTTGACCGAAATCCAACCTGGGACCCTTCAGTCCAGCAGGGCCTACCAGATGACTTTTGAAGACACAGTCACTTCACTCCACGGAGTTATTATTTTGATCAGAGGAATGAGGAAAGTGTAGTAAGCAGAAATCCACTATGAATCATCTGAGAATTGTTACAGACTGGGCCATAGACTCCACGGGGTTAATAAATGAGGCTCCTTGGAATGACAGCAGCAAAAGGCAATCCCACTGCAGCTACAGCACTCAGAGACTGTCCAAGCCATATGCCACTCAGCATCCTCCTGTGGCACTGAGGAGCCCGACAGGTTTCCAGGGGCCAGTGGTGTGGCTGGGACTGACCTGGGTTGTAGCTGTATAGCTTCTGATAATTACCCACAAAGCCTCACAGGAGGGAGGTGGCCTTTAAAAAACCGTGAGGTCCATAGACACAGACTTTATTTCACACACATTATCATGGAAGACAGGGTCTTATTTCCTTTGCAATGGCTTAGTTCCACTTCCATTTGCTTCTCTTTTCAAATTTAAATGGTAATATCCTCTGTCTTTTTAAAAATACTTTTTTTAGGAGCAATTTTAGCTTCTCAACAAAATTGAATGGAAAGTACAGAGTTCCCATATTCCTTTGGTCTCCATAAACACATTAACAACTTCCTGCACAATCAACATCCATGACACAGTGGTATGTTTATTACCACCAATGAACCTATAGTGACACACCATAATCATCCAAAGTCCATAGTTTCTATGAGGGTTCAGGCAGGACATGGGTCCACCTTTGTCGTATATAGGTTTCACTGTCCTAAAAATCCTGTGTGCTCTGCCTCTTCATCCTTCCCTCCCCCACCACCTCTGGAAACTGATGATATTTTTATCATCTCCAATTTTTGCTTTGTCCAGAATGTCATATAGTTAGGCTTGTACAGTATGTAGCCTTTTCAGAGTGGTATCCTTTTATGATTTATTTTTTGCCTTCTATTATAGTCTCTTCACATTGGCCTCATTTTACTCATGCAGAAGCAGATGGTGGTTGATACATAAAATGAAAAAGCAAGCAACAAAGTGTAGCCTGGGGAATTCTTGCATCAGCATCTCATGGGGTGATAAAGCCCTGAGGTAGGGAAGAAAAGAGGACCACTGTAGTTAGAGAACTGTGTTTAGGGGGTGACATGAGAGCCCTGTAAAGAGAAGGGGCCATCCTCCTGTGGCAGGTCAAGGTAAGGCACTGGGTTTTTTTCAGAGTGCTATAGGAAGCAATAGGAGGGTTTAAACATTGAAGAAAAATAACACCCAGGTGGCTCAATCGGTTGGGCATCATCCCTGTGTAGCCAAAGGTTGCAGGTTTGATTCCTAGTCAGGGCACATGCCCAGGTTGTGGGTTCAGTCCCTGGTGAGGGGCCTGCAGGACATGCCAGTCCATGTTCCTCTCTAACATGGATGTTTCTCTCTCCCCCTTCCTCTCTCTCTAAAAATAAATTAATAGAATGTTAAAATATGTACACAGATAATAATTTAATTAAAAATATTTTAAAAATAAAATAAAAATAAATTAATAAAAAAAATCTTTAAAAATTCTTGGGGCACACCAGTTGAAAATCTTTGTTCTAGAGTAGGGGTGTCGAACTCAATCAGAGAAGGGGCCAAAATCTAAAATCCAGCCTAAATCGCGGGCCGAATGGTTTACTGAACAGTCATAAACTGTCATTGTGATGGAAACGCAGCGGAGTGCAGTGATGACAGCGCGGTGCGGGCCACATTGCAAGGCCTGGCGGGACGGATTTGGCCCGCGGGCCTTGTGTTTGACACATGTGTTCTAGAGTAATAGCAACGCAGAAGTAAGAAGCCCAGAGGTTAAAGACACACTATGAAGGTAGACTAGCTCAGATTTGTTAATGGATTGAATAGGGTATAAAAGTGGAGGGTGGGAGAGGAGAGGCGTGTTGGATATGTGAAAATATCTTACATATTACATTTCCCTCAACATGTTATGCTGAACATTTAAAAAAATATTTTTATTGATTTCAGAAAGTAAGGGAGAGGGAGAGAAACATCAATGATGACAGAGAATCACTGATTGGCTGCTTCTGCATGCCCCCCACTGGTGACTGCAGCCTGGCATGTGCCCTTGACCAGAAAAGAACCCAGTACCCTTTAGTCTGCAGGCCAACACTCTATCCACTGTGAGCCAAACCAGCTAGGGCTATGCTAAACATTTTGAAAGAGCAATTTGGAAAGAATTTTCCAGTGTATACCCATTTACACCTAAGATCTTAGTATACTCCTATCCATTTTTCCACCCCTCCATGCATCAGTCCACCTTCTGTTTGTAGTGCATTTAACATTGCCATCAGTGCCCTTCTCTCTGCCTGCCTCAGCACAGGTCAATTGGTTCGTTTTTTTCCTTTTGATGTAAAAAATTTACATTCAAGGTGAAACGCACAGACCTTAAGAATGCATTCACTGAGTTTTTGACACCCGAACCCATCTGTCTACATCTTAAATCGGAGATGCCCAAGGGATATCAATGGGGCATAAGCAAACGAGTTGCCGGATGTAGAAATCTGGGGCTCCGTCAGAGGAGACATCTGGCACCTTCAGCACATGGGTCTAGATGAGCTCGGGGGTCGGATGAAGACGCCAGGGGCGTGCGGAGGGAGGAGGAGCGGGCTGTGTCCGCAGGGAGTCCCAGGGCTCAGAGGCCTGTCCGGTGGGAGAAGGGGACCTGCGGAGAGGCCAGGGGTTGGGCTAGCCCCGGCCAAAGTTGGCACAAGGCGGGCTCCTGAAAAGCCAGCCTGCTTGGCGCCGCGGGGCGGGTCTTGGTCGCCATCCGAGGGGACTTGAGGTGTCACTAAGTGCGGGGGAGGGGGCCTGGGGGAAGGGGCGGCGGCCCGGGTTCCCGGCCCGGCGGGAGGTCAGCCGGCTGGAGGGTAAAGAAGGGATGTGGAGGCGGTGAGGGGGTGATGGTGGGAGTAATGGAGAAGGGAAAGGGATGAAGGAAAGGAGGGAGAGGCGGAGGCCAGGGAAGGGGAGCCGGGGAGGCCAGGAGGCGGGAGGGGCGGAGCTGCCGCAGCGGCCGGCGCGGGGCGGGCGGGCGGAGGGAGGGGGTGTGCGCGGGTCACATGGTCGCGGCCGCCTCCCCGCCCGCCGCCCTGGCCGCCGCGGAGCGCTGCTGCAGGAAGCCTCGGCGCCGCGCTTTTGTTGTCAGGGGCCCCGCGAGGAGCGCCGCTCGCCGCCCGCCGCCTCCCTCCTCTCTCCCTCTGCAGCCCGCTCCCCGGCCGCCGGCCCCGGCGCCCCGCCCATGAGGGGGCCCCGCGACCACCGCCGCCTCCAGCCCGGGGCGGCGCGGCGCTGAGCGGGAGGCGGAGCCGCCCCCTCCCCGAGGGCGCCATGGAGGTGACTGCGGGTAAGAGCCGGGCTGCGGCGGCGGGTCGGGGGCCGGCGGAGGGGTTGCTCGCAGCCCGCTCTGGGCACTTACGGGGGCGGCGGCCAAGGGGGTGTCTCCCCACAGGGGCGGCGGGGTGGGCTGCCGCGGGACGCGAACCCTCCTCGGACTGGGTTCCCGCCGCCCCGCGGGCCGCCCCGCGGTGGCCCTCCCGGTTCCCCTCCCTGCTCCCCGCATCGCCGCAGCGCGGCCCGGCGGGCGCCGGCCGGCCCCCCCCTCACATGGCCGGGCCGCGCGAGCCACGTGCGCGCTGTGTTTACGTTCGGCGGCGCGCGGGCGCCGGTTGGCTGGACGGGCGCGTGACGCGGCATTACATAATGGGCGGCGGCGGGCGGGGACACGTGAGGCCGCTCGGCTCCGTGACCCACATTCCCCGGGGCCGCAGGGACACGTGGGGGCGGGGCGGGGGCGGGGGCGCGCGCGCTGGCGGGGAGCTCCGCTGCCTCCCGGGAGGCCCCGCCCCTTGGAAGACTCCGGGCTGTGACGTGGCCGCGGTGCCCTCCTCCCTCCCTCCCTCCGTGGGGTTTGCACGGCGCGGAGGCTGCCGCGCGTGCTTGTGCGCGTGCGCGGGCGGAGATTCCCTCCTCTTGGCCCCCCCCCCCCACCGCCCCTCCCCGTCCCCACTCCGTCCGCGGGCGCGCGGCTCCGGGGCGGGCGCGGATGCCGCAGTGCTCCGCCCGCGCGGCGGGGAGGTGACCCCGATGCGGGAGCCGGAGCCGGAGCCGGGCGGGCGGGCGGGCCGGCCGGCCGGCCGGCCGCAGACCTTGCGGACGCGGAAGAAGTGCGGGGCGCGGGCGCGCTGCAGCCCAAGGGCGATGATGCTCCGGGACCGGCGTGGGGGCTCCCAAGACGCGAGACCCTCGGAGGAGTCTTAGGTGCTGAGAGCCTCGCCTCGCCGGGCAGACGGGACAACACCCGCCCTGGTGAAGGCAGCTTCACTGTTATAAAAAAAAAAAAAAATGTTTTCCTCCAGGACGCGACCTTTCCTATCTGAAGCCATAAAAACCGGCTTGAAATTCTCCTTGGGCTGGGATCCTTTACTGTAAACGGGTCACACCCGTAGCTAATCATTCAGCCCAGCGTGTGGCCAGGGTGACTCAGGTGGCCCTGAGGGTCATTCATTGTTCATTTCAGTTTTTTTTTTTAAGACTCATAAGTTGTTGACCTTGCCTGAACCTGATCAACAGAATTTGGCTTTATACCACCTTTTTTTTGGTTACCTTTCCCGTTACAATGCTATGGGACTCTATTTTACTTCTCCCCTTTTCGTCTGCCCATAAAAGATGGTCTTTATGCAAACGCCAGTGAGGTTACAGAAGAAGCCAGTTTTTATTTTTTTTTTTAAGTTATATGCTGTCAAAAGAACGCCTTGATAACAGTTGTGTGGTGAATTCTCCAGCAGTAAAAATACAGTGATTTTCTGCCGAAACCGGTTTGGCTCAATGGATAGAACGTCGGCTTGGGGACCTGGGTTTGATTCGGGTCAAGGGCATGTACCTTGGTTGCGGGCATATCCCCAGTAGGGGGTGTGCAAGAGGCAGCTGATCGATGACTCTCCCTCATCGATGTTTCTAACTATCTCTCTCCCTTCCTCTCTGTACAAAAATCAATAAAATATATATTTTTAAAAAATATAGTGATTTTCTAACTTTTGCTTACCTATGGGTCTACTTAGCCTTTGAGGGTGTTTTTTAAAATTGGGTAACTTTATGACGGGATTAAACTCTTGATAGGCTTTGGAGGTGAGCAGGTTCAGCCTCCTCTAACGCAGCCTTTAGCATGAATAAATTCTAACAGCTTTGCAACCTCACATAGGGGGAGGCTCAGGGTGATTAGAAACATTTTCTCTGGTTTGAACCTTTTGGAACAATATCACATATCTTAATCTTAGTCTTGCTTTTTGGAGATGCCAATAGAAAACTTCCTTCGAGGAAGGTCCCCTTTCTACCCCTCCACCCCCGTCCATTTATAGTTGTTACTCTTGTTTTTTGCAAAGGGTCTTTTTTTTTTTTTTTTTTTTTTTCCTTCAATCGTCATCCTTGTTGCCTTTGGGGCTGTAGCACCTATAAATGAATAGGCTCCTGCGGAAATCGTTGGACCGTTACCAAGTTCCAAGCTTGGGAATTCTGCTGCGAATGAATTCTCTGGCAGGCATAGCTTTTGTAGCATATTGCTTTGCTGACTCAACAGTAACCTTGCAATCAGGACCTTTTCATGTGAACTTTTGAAGCTAGATTTTATCCATCGTGCGGGTAGTTGTTTGACTTTTAAGTGTAGGAATTTGCAGTTCTTTCTTAAAATTTCTCTTATTCTTTTGGCTCCCAAGTTCAAGCTGTCATAAGCTGTTAGTATATTAACAATTTCTGCTGTTGGAAGGAGTTTTGATAAGTGTTCCCTTTAATTTTCTTCAAAATGTAAATGTTGACCAGGGTGGAACAAAATTCACTGCTCACTGGCACACCTCTGACCCTTCCCGTTGGGTTGATATTGTGTTAGTAAATACACGGTTCAACCAGTGACCATTTCATCTGTCCTATAATTCCTGACATCTGTCCTGTAATTCCTGTGTCTCTACTCTCTCCATGACTGTTACAGATGTGATATAGAAGTGGTAGAAATTGACTCATACCTTTTTTTTTTTTAATCTTTATTGTTCATATTATTACAAAAGTTCCTCATTTCCCCCCTTCTCCACCAGGTTCCTACCCCACCCTCTGTGACTAATACCTTTTTGTCACAGATAGATTTTGATTGTGTATACAAGGTTCTTTAAATAACTCATTGCATAAACTTACTAACCTAGACTGTAATTAATATTTTAAAAGTTAGGAAAATGTCTCCACATAGTTCATTCATATCTTTACAAATCTGTATTCTGCATTTCTCCAAACATGGAAAGGACATCAGAGGCAGATACGGGTAAAGAAATGTTCACTTGGAGAGAGAGAGAGAGAGAGCACAGTAATGGGAAGAATCAGATGTGAAGTAGGAAGCTGCCTAAGTCAATGGAGTTGAGGCATTCAGGAGGTAATGTGGAAATAAGAACATACAGAGGAACCACTGGGTCATATGACACCTTCAGAATTGAAGGAACCAAGAAAGGAGAGGGAGAGTTAGTTTGTTTGAACTATTCTGATTGGGCTCCAGTATCATGATGGTAAAATAATAATCACCAGTATCTGTTGAGCATTTCCTTTGTGCAAGGCCTTTTACATGCACTACTACTTAGATACTTCACGTTAATTCTGTCTTTGAAAGTTCTGCCAGTGGAAGATGAGGTGCTAATTGAAGTTAAGTAACAGGCAGGCAGTGGGAGAGGCAGGTTTTGAACCCACAGAGTCCAGTTGGGGGGTACAAGCTAGCTGCCGTGGGTTCACTTGGTTTGCAGTGGTGCAGGGTCATAGGGGGAAAAGGGCGGGTGTCAGCAGGGCCTCCCAATTTCACCATTCCATTTTTTAAATCTTGTTGCTGGTCAATCTGTTTTTATTTCCACACACTAGATTACACTTGCCCTCCCATTCCAGCTATTTACATGGGGTCAAAACCCACTATTTTACAAAATAAGACCTATTCTCTTCTTGTTCACCCTCATTTATTTGTTATCTTAAGTAATCTCTTACATGGTACATCATCCAATAATTCATATATTCTTTAAGTGCCCATTTAGTGTTACCTTGACTGTTAGCCTCTCTTGAGCTGGGCCCTCTGTAGTGCTCTTGTGCGATCCTCAGCAGTTCACAGTGATGTGTATGGAAAATGCTCAGTCACATTGCACTGGGATGGATGGTTACCATAGCTGTTTCCCCAGCTGGCCCCTCAGGCTTTTTAAGGCTGTTTTCTAGAGCCCTGACACTCAGGACACAGTTGGACGTTTAGTATTGCCATTAGATCTTCTCTACCATCCTGTGATTAGAAATTACTAATAATCTTTTTTTTTTTTAATATATTGATTTTTTACAGAGAGGAAGGGAGAGAGATAGATAGCTAGAAACGAAACGTTGATGAGAGAGAAACATCGACCAGCTGCCTCTTGCACACCCCCCACCGGGGATGCGCCCGCAACCAAGGTACATGCCCTTGACCGGAATTGAACCCGGGACCTTTCAGTCCGCAGGCCGACGCTCTACCACTGAGCCAAACTGGTTTCGGCTACTAATAACCTTTTTAAAAAATGTATTTTTATTGATTTCCAGGAGGAAGGGAGAGGGATAGAGAAATAGAAACATCAATGATGAAAATCTTTGGTCACCTGCCTCCTGCATGCCCCCTCCTGGGGATGGAGCCCACAACCCCGGGCATGTACCCTGACCTGGAATTGAACCGTGACCACCTGGTTCATAGGTTGACGCTCAACCAATGAGCCACGCCAGCCGGGCGATTAATAACCTTTTAAAATGAGAAAACTAAAGCTTCTTGATGGTACAAATGTTTTCATCTAAATTACAAGGCAAACAAGTACAGTCATGACTTGAACTCAAGCATGCTTTCTGAGGCTGGGTGGCAGTGGCAGTGGGAGGGTTTTGGTGATGGGCAAGCCTATAATTGGGGCAAGAAAATCCCAATATCTGCAGGAACAGTGAGTGCATCCCAGGAGGTCAAAATTGGATATTGGCTTCTGGCTTGTCTGAAGTTGACCACTGGGTAAGCCCCAGCCTGGGAACCTGGCCCAGCTCCATCCTTTTCAACTAAAAATAGAGAAGACTGTGCCTCAGCTAATTTTAGCTTGAGGCATCTAAGAGGCATTTTCTGCCTGTTTCTGGAGGAATTAGGACATGCTGGTTCGGGTATTTTGTCTTTCTTGCTTTATCACCAAAAACTGTATGTAGAGAGCACGTTACTAATTCTTGTTTATGAATACCATCTCATTACAATCCTATAAATAACTGGCAGATATTCCCATTTCTAGAAGATGACAAGTTCAGAGAGATTGAAAGTGACTTGCTTGCCCAGGACTTCTTAATGAGAGATAATAGTCTGTCCTTTGGATTAGGCAGCCCTAACTTTCAACCCTGGCCCTGCCATTTAGTAGCTGTACCACTTCACCTCTCTGAGCTCTGAGTTTCTCATCTGTAAAATGGGATACTGGAAATGAATTCACAGGGTTCCTGTGAGGATGAAATGTGACATGATATTGTGTCCTTTCATTCTTGACATTGATTGCATAGTTGGTGACTTAGTTTTCACTTTCCTTTTTTCATTGGGTTGAGGAACTGCCAGATGTACTCTGACCTTCTAGAGTACATCTGGGTTGCTAATCATCATATTGGTGTTGGTTTCTGGTAGCAAGAGTAGATGCTGTAAGTGAATCAGTGTAGAAGGTCTTGCTAGGAGAATGTAGCTGCTTCTAGATAGAGCATCTTTTATTCCATGGTGCCTGGCACAGATTTTTGTTGTTGTGAATGATTGTTGAATTCCTAAAGATAGGAATAGGTTTTTTATTTTATTTTTAGGAATAGGTTCTTAACCGGACTAATAATAACTCAGTAATTTTTCTTAGGTTTAATTTTGGAGCTTTTGCAAAGGAAGGTTTGTTTTGAGTTATAACAATATCTTCCATTGCCCACTCTGCTTTAAATTAGTTCTTAAGCCATCTGAAGAGCTCAGATTTCCAAAGTTTTTTTTTTTTTTTTTTTTTTTTTTTTAATCTGAGGTAGTCTGAAGGAGGTGCCTCCTGAGTATAAATGGTTGACTCAGATGCTGGCCCCAGGAAAGTCTTCTAAGGAAAACGATCACTTTCTCATCTTTTATCCCCTTGAGATCTTCTGGAATTGAATTTTACTACCTAAGGCAGTAGCTTAGAAAGACAAATAGCGATGAGACCTTCCTTTGGGAGTTTATTCAGGACTAAGGATAATGTTTTTCTTTATATCCTGAGTGCAGACACGTGAAAGAAGCACCGGGTCCTCTGGCCAGAATGTGTCTGCTTTTTGCACAGGCATAATCTTCAAGACCTCATCTGGAGGGATGCCCAAGAAACAGTCAATGATCTCAGATGCCTTGATGGGCAAGGAGAATGGATAGATTTCCTCTAGGGATTTGATCTTCATGTCCTTGACCTGGCGGCCCAGCGTGGTGACAGGGAGTCACACCTTGTCCTCGATCTTGCCTCCATGAGTTCTGCGGCCTCGGCTCCTGCTCAGACCCCAGCCGTGACCCCAGGCCTGGATGTCGCTGCCAAATCCCCCCACCTCCTCTCCGGGCCCTCCTGCAACACTGGCATCATCCTTCATTTGGTCTTTCCTCGGAAAGGAAGCGTGTGTTTGTGTTTAAATGACTTAATTATTATAAAGTGTGTCTTTTATCTAAAGGGAAAAAAAAATCGGGAGTTATTTATTTCTGTTTAGCAGAGAAAGTTTTATTTCAGAGTGAATGCTTAATTTGCAGTGATTACTTTGAGGATGTGCAAAATTCTCCAGTTTCTACTCACTATAGTTATATAGATTGTTGTCAGAAGTGGCCTGTTTTACTGGCAACTTCCTAGGAATGTTTTGTACGGTTTGGGCATCTGTCCATGTTATTAGACATGGGGTTCACAGAGGCTGAGAAGTAGGTCTTAAAAATATTTATGGTAGGCTTATTGCCTAAAGCATGTACAGAGTTAAGAGACGCTCTGCACTGTTAGGTGCTTATGGTCTAGTTGAGAAATAGATGGAAACAGTAGGTTTAAGTAAGAGCTCAGGACAGATGGAAGAGAGAGAACTTTGCATCTGATGCACATTGAAAAGCCAATAAATGTTCACTAATCATGGAGGGAAGAGGAAAATAAACCACAATACACCTTGGCAGAGAAGATGAGAATTACTTGTTTGGCCTAGGATTTGGAAAAATATTATATTTGGCTATGAGGTTATTACTCTCGCAACATTTTATCTCTTTGAGTGAAGAAGCTTGTAATTATATTTTAAGAATAACTTTTAAGTGTTATTTCTTTTTTTAAATATATTTTATTGATATTTTACAGAGAGGAGGAAGGGGGAGAGAGAGAGAGCTAGAAACATCCATGAGAGAGAAACATAGACCAGCTGCCTCTTGCACACCCCCTACCAGGGATGTGCCCGCAACCCAATGTACATGCCCTTGACCGGAATCAAACCCAGGACCTTTAAGTCCGCAGACCGACACTCTACCACTGAGCCAAACCGGTTTTGGCTAAGTGTTATTTCTTAATCTGGGAGGTTTATGGTCTCTAAGACGTCGAGGCCAGTTTTCAGAGGGATTGTGGAAGTTACATTGATGAAGTTGAGAAGAGTAGTTCCGTGAAGAGGGCATTAACTTTAGCCTTAATGTTAAATTCCCTGATAGTCTGCATTCTTCCTTCGAGCTTCTTTAATATTTACCGTAGGCAGAAGAATAAGTAGTGAGTCTAGATTCCTTAAGAGCTGCTTAGAGATTTGTGTCTGTAAGTCAGAAGTAGGTGGAGAAAGGAGAGTGGAACTGGGGTTTAGTGATAGTCAAAGAAATCTTCCGGGAGCATCAAAACAGAGATTCTGGCCGAAACCGGTTTGGCTCAGTGGATAGAGTGTCAGCCTGCGGCCTGAAGGGTCCCAGGTTCGGTTCCGGTCAAGGGCATGTTCCTTGGTTGCGGGCACATCCCCAGTAGGGATTGTGCAGGAGGCAGCTGATCAATGTTTCTCTCTTTGATGTTTCTAACTCTCTATCCCTCTCTCTTCCTCTCTGTAAAAAATTAATAAAATATATTAAAAAACAAAAACCAAAAAAACAGATTCTGGGAGGTTCTCTGTTTTGAGATAAGTTAATTTACCTAGAATCCCAGATGTTATACCTGTTTTGGATTAACCTGTGTTTTAGCCAAGTGATGGGGGAGGCAAATGATGACTCTGTTTCTAGAATTGTGTCATATAAGGTGTAATGATGGAGACAGAGGACCAGAACCAGCTTTCTTCATGGCCAAAACAATTGTTTTGGAGTCACTCAGGAAGGTTTTTCCTTCATTTTAGGAAAAGTTGGAAAATGGAAAATCTGGATCTGCATGTGCTCAGAATAAGCCCTCCTGAGAGCCTTCTCACTTGTTAAGTCAGTGGGAATTATATGGGCTTTGGACTGTGTGGAAGCAGGAATTGTAGTAGGAAATATGAGAGCCGGTTATTTTTCCTTTTGGGATAAGCTGACATTTAATTAGTAACCAATTTCTAAAGTTAGTGACTTTACTGTTCAGGTTTATAAAAATAGAAAATACATGGCCTGTATCTAATTATCTGATTTCTCTTTTTTTTCCTAGGAGGTGTGATTGCCTACATCAGTTCTTCCAGCTCAGCCTCCAGCCCTGCCTCTTGTCACAGTGAGGGATCTGATAATAGTTTCCAGTCCTCCTTCTCTTCTGTTCCATCTTCTCCAAACAGTTCTAATTGTGATAACAATGGTAATCCTAAAAGTGGCGATCTGTCCAGTATTGAAGGCATTCTGAAAAATGATCGACTAGATTGTTCTATGAAAACAAGCAAGTCAAGTACACCTGGCATGACAAAGAGTCACAGCGGAATGACAAGTAAGTTTAGTTTTCTAAAGGTTGATGCCATTAATTGCAGGTCAGGCTTACTTTATCAACTCTTCATTTGGGGGACCATTATATCTAGGAATATGATTTTCACTCCTTTTCTGAGCAATAACAGTTCAGTAGTTAGGTAAGAAATCAGTGATGGTTTTTAAAGTTACAGCCTCAAGGAGTTGTCATAACTGATCCTTGCCTCGGAGTGAGAGATGAGCTTATGTACTGTGTCTGACCACATGTCCTCTACAGTTAGTTTCCCCTTTTGCCACATTTTCACAGTTACCTTTCCTCCGGACTCCTAGTACTGAATCTGGTATCTAGAACAGAGTACTTACTCGTTATGGGAAGGGGTTTCCTGTAATGAAGTTGGAGCTAGGAACATTGGTAATTGGAAATACAGCAGGATTTGGGGTAACCGAATGAGTAGTGGAATTTGGACCCCTGAGTGAGTGTGGGGGTAAGATGGGCTGGTATAAGAGAAAGAACAGGAAGGAATAGCATCTGGTGTGTGGACAGCAGCCTGTGAAGACATTGCTTGCATTTTTTATTGATTGATTTCTCCATTCTTATCCAGGAGAACGGTTTTCTTAGTTCTGGTTGCATATCTGGTGTAAAGTAATTTTAGACTTATAAAATTTCAGAGTATGTTTAACATCATCAGGAAACCAGCTTTCTGAAATATTTTTGGTCCCATAAACTGAGTTTCAAAGAAAACCATGATGTCTTTTGATTTGTTAATTTGGTGTAAGGAATTTTCTTCTACATGATAAAAGTATATTTGTATCTATTTAAAGCACAAATTGGACAAAATAAAATATTCAGTTGGAAAGAAAACAGACAGTTGAAAATTTTCCCTGTCTTTATTGTTTCTGTTTGTGCCTTAGAATTTAGTGGCATGGTTCTCCTGTGCAAAGTCTGTGGGGATGTGGCGTCGGGATTCCACTATGGAGTTCATGCTTGTGAAGGCTGCAAGGTAAAAACACGCTTTGGTCTCTTTAAGCTACTGATTCTGGAATTAAACAAGTTGGAGTTGGGTTTGCAGTTTTCACAGCTGATAATCTGGGAGGAGGGAGAAGGAGAACTCAGTTGCTTCTCTTTACCTCTTAAGCGTTTTATGTAGTTATAAACATAACTTGTGTTGAGAAATAGGCTTTCAATTCAGTGACAGTACTTTTTAAAAATTATTTTGATCACATTATATTTGCTGTCTCCATCAAATTTAAATACAGTATTTAAATCTGTGCACTAGTGCTTATTCATTAATGCGCCGAGTGCTGCCCTGGGCGATGGGGAGACAGCAGGGAGCAGAACAGACTTGCTCTATTGGAACTTGGTTTAAACCAGACTTGGAATAGGTCTTATCAGATACATTGTCATTCTGACATGTCAGGTAGTAGGAGTTGAGAATAATCCCTAGATACTTATAAAAGTGTGATGTCTTTACTCACTTTTAATCCAATATATAAATCAAGTTGGATATAAATCGAGTTCTTGGGAAAGTTCATTATACTTGTAAGTTTAGTTGAATATTTCTTAGAGTGTCCATCAGATAATTCCAAGGGAGAGAGTCTGTACCACCTACTTACATCCAGGGGATCTCTCTTTGTCTTTCTAAGTCTGGCACAACCCTTTCTCCTGAGTGTCAGAGTTAACTTGGCCAAGGCAGGTGCTCCTGCTCTTCTCTGACTGAAGGCCAGAAGCAGGAATCCAGTTTGGCAGGATACGTTGGTTGAGCAAGATAATGAATATACATGATGAAAGAAGAAATATTTTCTAGGGTGGCTCTCAATGAATTGTGGTTTTCTTAATTCTTAATGGTCAGGTCACTTAACAAACTGGTCAGTATTTTATACAGATGCAGCAATTGTCCACTGTTTTAAAAGTTATTTAAACACTGTTTTTTTCCCCCCCCTCGAAAATGTGAAGTAATTATGGGGCTAGAGAAACAAAAGCACAAGCCAATAAGTCTTAATTTGTGTATTCTTTTTTTTTTAAACTATATTTTATTGATTTTGTACAGAGAGGAAGAGAGAGATAGTTAGAAACATCGATGAGAGAGAGTCATCGATCAGCCGCCTCTTGCACACCCCCTACTGGGGATATGCCCGCAACCAAGGTACATGCCCTTGACCGGAATCGAACCCGGGTCCCTTCAGTCCCCAAGCCGACGCTCTATCCATTAAGCCAAACCGGTCTCAGCTTAATTTGTGTATTCTTGATACTTACACATAACTGCTCCATACTCTCTTAAAGGTGTGTCTAGCTCAGATATTGTAGTGTCCAAGTATAGAACCACAGTAATAAAGTCTAAATATGTTGTGTCCCACAAATACTAATAAGATTCATGAAATGTGTGGTTAGTTACGATATTCAAGGAAATTGTAGTTCAAGTTACTTTCAGTAATTTGTTTCTTGACTTTTCCGTTCTCCTTGGAACTATTAAGCTGGGGATCTTTGCATACCTGTCACAGCACCTGCACTTTCATTCTTTGTTTAGTGAAGGCAGTAATTGGTAGTCTTGCTGGGAACTGTCTTTTCCTGGATCATTAGTTGGTCTCTGGTGTGGCACTTATCTGTTGCTGGCAAGCAACCAAGAACATTGGGCACATATAAGTAGGCCTTGCTGGTGTCAGCAGGCAATGATCTAGGGAAGACCAAACTTTACTAAATCATCCTTTGTTCCAGTGAGGGGATTACCGTACTAGAGCTATGGAACATCCTTTTCTGTTAACGCTTTGAAAATGGGTCCTATTTCTAGAGTTTTGGAATTTGTATGTGATTAAAGTATGAGCTGGGAAATGTGGCTGCAGGCAGGGCTGGTAACGGGAAAGTATGGTACAGGGGATGCTTAGAAAGCAGCAAGATTCTGAAAAAAGGAAGAAAGGGAAGAGGGTTTTGTTTAGCTAGTAAATATAGGTGCTTATTGATACTGATGAGAATGCAGGCAAATCCCAGGTGTCGAGATGATATTTCCCTGGGGTCTAAGCCAAAATTATTTCTCAGGTGTAGCTAGTAATGGATAATTCCATAGTTAGGAATTGGGGGTGGCTACTTGTAAGGAATTCATCTGGGTGTTTTTAAATGAATGGGTACATCTTCCTTTGTTCTTAGGGTTTCTTTCGGAGAAGCATTCAGCAAAACATCCAGTACAAGAAGTGCCTGAAGAATGAAAACTGTTCTATAATGAGAATGAATAGGAACAGATGTCAGCAGTGTCGCTTCAAAAAGTGTCTGTCTGTTGGAATGTCGAGAGATGGTATGTTCCCGGTTTAAAGAGCATTCTTTCTTAGAGCATATGGGCTGGCTTTTATTCCTCAGCATAAACCAGAGCTATAAACCAGTTACCAGTGGCCTTCTCCTGCTTAGGGTGAAGCAGATTTAGAAAACATATTTTAATGCCTTGTAGGATGCCAAATTCATTAAAGTCAAATCTTAGCATCAACATCCCAGGAATAGCTTTGGTTCACTTCTTCTTCTTGTTTTTTTGTTTTGTTTTTTTTTTTTATTTTTATTTTTTTTTTTTTTTTTTTTTTTTTTTTAAATATATTTTATTGATTTTATACAGAGAGGAAGGGAGAGAGATAGAGAGTTTGAAACATCGATGAGAGAGAGTCATCGACCAGCTGCCTCTTGCACACCCCCTACTGGGGATATGCCCGCAGCCAAGGTACATGCCCTTGACCGGAATCGAACCCGGGACCCTTCAGTCCCCAAGCCGACGCTCTATCCACTGAGCCAAACCGGTCCGGGCTGTTTTTTTTTTTTTTTAAATTATTTTTTTTATTGACTTCAGAGAGGAAGGGAGAGGGAGGGAGAGAAACATCAATGATGAGAATCATTGATCAGCTGCCTCCTGCACGCCCCCTACTGGGGATTGAGCCTGCCCTTGACTGGAATCGAACCTGGGACTCTTCAGTATGCAGGCCAATGCTCTACTCACTGAGCCAAATCAGCAAGGGCTCACTTCTTTTTTTTGTTTTGTTGGTTCTTATAAAAAGATCCACCCCCCCGTACAATTTCAATACTTCTCCCCCCCCCCAAAAAAAAAAAATTTAGTTTTTCTTTTTTAAAACATTATTATTGATTTCAGAGAGGAAGGGAGAGAGAGAGAGAGGAGCAACATCAATAATGAAAGAGAATCATTGATTGGCTGCCTCCTGCATGTCCCCTATTTGCGGAAGGAGCCCTCAATCCAGGCATTTGCACTTGACCGGAATCGAACCCAGTCTGACACTATCTACTGAGCTAAGTTGGAATTCTTTTTTTTAAAATATATTTTATTGATTTTTTACAGAGAGGAAGGGAGAGGGATAGAGAGCTACAATAGAAACGTCGTTGAGAGAGAAACATCGACCAGCTGCCTCCTGCACACCCCCTACCGGGGATGTGCCCGCACGAATGTACATGCCCTTGACAGGAATCGAGCCTGGGACCTTTCAGTCCGCAGACCGATGCTCTACCACTGAGCCAAACCGGCTTTGGCTAAATTGGAATTCTTGATATAGGAATCCATAGCTCGCTCTTCATAATATCAGCATTGCTGATTAACCCAGTTCTCATTATGTGCATTATCTCTATCATTTTCTCAGCCCTGAGTTGATAATGTGTTTTTAGAATACAGATTCTGAATACATTGAAAGGAGATGCAAAACTAAAAGAAACATTAGGGATTAGTGTAGTAGGGTTAATTAAGAATAGCTAAGAGTGAACCTCATTCATTTATCTAGGGGAGGGTCATTTATTTTTATTTTATTTTATTTTTTTAAATTTCTTTATTGATTTAGGTATCACATATTTATCCTCATCCCCCTGTTCCCACTCCACAACCCTCCCCACATATTAACCCCCCCCTCCCCCCCGTCGTCCTTGACCACTGGTTAGGTTCATATGTATGCACACAAGTCCTTTGGTTGATCTCTCCCCTTTATTCCCACCGTCCCCCTACTAGGGGGAGGGTCATTTAAACAGTCCCTTAGGTTATCTTACTGACACAGAAGTACAGTATTGCAATAAGGAGCCTCTTGAATAACAGGCTTCCAGCAATTTGATATTTGGGGTTTTTAATTGCCTGAAAAATTTTTATAGCACTAGAAGTAGTAATCCAAGTTGATAGATACTGTGATTGCGCCAAAGAATAAAAATGCCTATCATTTGTGAAGGGGAGAGGGAGTAGAGGTGTAGAATATGAAGCACTGTAGAATTGTTTGTTTGATGATGTCAGAGATACGCTTAGATTATTAGTAAGGCTTTCTTACTGGGTGGTATATTAAGTTTTTATTATCTTTGTATAAAAGATTAGAGATTCCCCCCCATTCCCTCTAGGATAGGAATGTTGGAGACAGGCACATTTTAAGACCAAGCTCTCAAATAATGGAGGATGAATGATTTCATTTTTATTTGTTTCATTGATTTTAATCAAAATCCAACAGGTTGATTTTTCAATAACTGCATTTCTATTGACCGTGTTTTTTTTTTTATTTTTTTTAAGATTTTCTTTTTCTTTTTATTATTATTATTTTTTTAAGATTTTCTTTTTAAAGAAGCCAGTAAAGAACGGGTCACTTAACATTGGGTCTGCCAAAACTGGTTTGGCTCAGTGGATGGAGCGTCAGCCTGCAGACTGGGGTCCCGGGTTCGATTCTGGTCAAGGGCATGTACCTTGGTTGCCGGCACATCCCCAGTAGAGGGTGTACAGGAGGCAACTGATAAATGTTTCTATCTCATTGATGTTTGTAGCTCTCTATCCCTCTTCCTTCCTCTCTGTAAAAAAAAAAAAAAAAAAAAAAAAAAAAAAAACCCTCAGTAAAATATACTTAAAAAAAAAATTAGATCTGGTTGGATCTTGAGAATAATGTTATGGAAATAACTTGAGAAAAGTCAGATGTTCAGGGAGTGATTGTGCCTACTGGGTTCCATTAGTGTTAATGGATGTAGGTAGTGAATCCCAAGGTGTCAGCAAGTAATGATCTAGGGAAGTCCAAGCTTTACTAACATAATCCTTCGCTCCAGTGAGGGGATTACTATCATAGAAAGAACTATGGAACATATTTTTCTGTTAACGCTTTGAAAATAAGTCCTATTTCAAAGTAAGGTGCTGTGTGGTTGTGCTGGTCTGCTTCAGGCTCTGATTTTCATTAGTTAATTTAAAGTTTCGTTTTTAGATAGTGCTTATAAATTACCCAAGAGATAGATCTTCTCCTTAGTTTTGTTTTGGGAGAACAATGGAAAATTCTCTCCCTCCCACTTCCTTTGGTACAGCCAGTAAGTTTAGAATAATTTGTGTTGGAGACATGGAGGTACTCTTTTCTTGCATGGCTAAAGGTCATAGCTAACAAAGATAATTTTGTGTTATTTTTCTTTATAAACAGGTCTTATTTAGAATATAGATGTTAAATATCTTTTTCTTCAATAGCTGTTCGGTTTGGTCGTATTCCTAAGCGTGAAAAGCAGAGGATGCTAATTGAAATGCAGAGTGCGATGAAGAGCATGATGAACAGCCAGTTCAGTGGTCATTTGCAAAATGACACATTAGTAGACCATGAACAGACAGCCTTACCAGCCCAGGAACAGCTGCGACCCAAGCCCCAGCTGGAGCAAGAAAGCATCAAAAGCTCTTCTCCTCCCTCTTCTGATTTTGCAAAGGAAGAAGTGATTGGCATGGTGACCAGAGCCCACAAGGATACCTTTTTGTATAATCAAGAGCAGCGAGAAAACCCAGCAAAGACCATGCAGCCCCAGAGAGAACGGATTCCCAAGAACTTGGAGCAGTATAATCTAAATCATGACCATTGTGGCAATGGGCTTAGCAGCCATTTTCCTTGTAGTGAGAGCCAGCAGAATCTCAATGGACAGTATAAGGGGAGGAACATAATGCACTACCCAAATGGGCATGCCATTTGTATTGCAAATGGACATTGTATGAACTTCTCCAATGCTTATACTCAAAGAGTATGTGATAGAGTTTCGATAGATGGATTTTCTCAGAATGAGAACAAGAATAGTTACCTGTGCAACAATGGAGGGAGAATGCATCTGGTATAGTGAAATCAATTGTTTTTTTGCTCATCTTGTATTAAGGAAAGCTATGGGGGGGAGGGTAATACCAATTTCAAGGGTGGGAGAGGGGTGTCAGAAAACATAAGAGATTACAGAATCAATTTTGGGCAATATTTTAGGTCAGATGCTTTTAATAGACATTTGTTGAATGACCTAATTTTACATACGGGTATAAGCATGTGATTTGATTGATACTGTGATTGGGATTAAGATTTTATGTAAAACATGGATCATGTAGAATTGGTCCTTTAATTCTTAGAAATCCCTTTCAAAATTTAAGCATTCTGATTAATCACTATCATACTAGCTTTGGGATTTTCTCTTTAAGGACAGAAATTTCTTGATTTCTATAGAAAGAGTTTTCTTTAACCATTATAATGCAAATAGGTCTTTGGATATAGGACATGGAAGTTTTATTGTGTGAGAATTTAGGGATATTTTAATAGACAGCCTCTCAGGATTTTCTCAGACTTCATCCTATGAGATGAGTTAATGTTATTCATATCATTCAAGTTTTTTTCATCAAATACAACAGTCTACATGAATGTACAGTATTTATATTCAGCCAAAATTTCATCAAAAGCATCATTACCGCATCATTTCCAGTTTAAATCACGAGGTCCTTTGATAGTGCTTGGTATTTCCCACAGCCAGGTAATTAAAGCCTTCTCTTTGTATTTTCAAAATAGTTGACTTACCTCAATCCTTAGGTTAGGATTTTTGGTCACTTGCAAATATTTGATCCCATTGATCTGAAATGTGACCTTATATTTTATTAGAATTAGTGGCTGCCTTATGGAGGGGAAAAAATCATGGTTACAGAATAAATTCCTGGATCCTCATGGATTTAGTGAAAATTAGAAGGATGATTTTACTAATAGAGATTACAGCACATGCTTCCTAATCTTTTCAGTGTTTTTGTGCTTTTAGCTTCTTATTTTTTTCCTCCCCAGTCCTCATTTCGAAGTTGCACCTAGTATCTCCAGTCATTTTTTCCCATTGACTAAGTGGAGGTCACTGCTTACATCATTGTTTATAAAACAGATGATCAGTGATCTTTTTATTTTTTATTTCATTTTTTTGATTAGTGATCTTTTTTAAAAAAACGAGACATCTCACTATATTTTCCTCTTTGAAATTACAACATTGTAATTGTGACCATTTAGAAAAAAGGGAGTTTTGAAATATTAACTGTGGGCTTGGGTTCTAGGCCTGTGACTTCTAGCTATTTGTTAAGTCACTAACCATCTTAGGGTCTCATTTTCTCATCTAAGAAATTGTAATATCTGTCATAACTGATAGGATTGAGAATCAAGCAAATATGTGTGTTTATCTTTAAACCATAAAGCCAGCATAAGGTGGCAGCAGTCTACAAAATAAACCCTTCAACCTGTGCAATGGGTTTTTAAAATAGCTTGTTATGGAGCTCATTTTTCGCTTAGGCTGCCTCTTGCATGGTAACAAGTTAATTGCTATTTAAATTAGGTTACTATGAGGCTTTTTGTCAAAAGATAGAGTATCCGAAAGAGAAAGTGTTATCAGTTGCACCTGAGGGTTATTTTCATGTTGGTGTTTCCAGTGATTGAGATGCTACTTCTGAAATTTCTTTACCACCTCTCACAATTAAAGAGTTTTTCTGTTTTGTGCACATTAGGTTTGTCCAATGAGTAAGTCTCCGTTTGTGGATCCTCATAAATCAGGGCATGAAATCTGGGAAGAATTTTCAATGAGCTTCACCCCGGCAGTGAAAGAAGTGGTGGAATTTGCAAAGCGTATTCCTGGATTCAGAGATCTCTCTCAGCATGACCAAGTCAACCTTTTAAAGGCTGGGACTTTTGAGGTAGATTTTGTTCATCTTGAGTATGGGTACAGGGCATGTATTTTATTTCCATGCATTTTACTTCTTCTCTAAATGAGTATTTATAGTCCAGAGGCTGAAACTACCAACAAAAGAATGACCTTTTCAGGATCTTGGGAGAGAGGCTAGCTAGGTAAATGCAGTTACTTAAGACTTAAAATATGTATGATCTGTATTCCGAGCATACAAACTCCAGGTTCTAGTATTGGCTTTTAGATGTGTAGGTTTTGCAGCGTGATGGACACCTACTGAAAGCCTAGCCTGGTGTTGACTATGTACAGAATAATAAGAGTGTGGTCTTTGTCTTTTAGGAGATTGTAGAGTACAGGGTGGGGCAACAGTAGGTTTACAGTGTGAGTATGCAAGATACAAGAATTTATTCTTGCATTATTACTTGTTATTGCATTTTCCATGCAAACAACGGTAAACCTACTTTCACCCCACCCTGTATTTGGTGGATGTATCAGACATCTCTTCCGAGCCAGCTCGGATTTTCTTGGCCTCATATCACTACGGAACCCATGGCTGCTTTTTCTATTCCAGCTTCTCTTGTGCGATGCCTTCTGCCTGGGCTTGAGGCAGCCACGGTTAGTTTCGTAGGACAAGTTTAGTAGGCAAGTTTAGTAGGACACAGACAGTGCCTCTTGTGCTTAGGTGCGTAGGTGACTCTCACCTGTCTGCTCCATGGCTTCCCTATTGCTGCTGGGGTATGAGAAGTCTCAGGACTTGATTGGAGCTCACTACAAATTATTTTAAAATGCAGGTATGAGGTGGGAGGTGGGGAGTTGATGTCAGGTGGGTGAAATCTTTGATTCGCGGGATTAGGGAGCCATCTCTCCATAAAAGTCCCACATGATTGAGCTCTTAGTTTTTCTTAATAAGTGGTGGCTGGCTCAGTAAATATTGCTAATATTTGCTCTCTCTGCTTCCCTTTTCCATTTTCGTTTTCCTTACTCTTGTTTTCACATGTGCCAGTGCACACCCCACATAAACTTTTACCTTAGGCTCTATTTTTGGGGGCACCTGGACTAGAACAGAGAAGAAGCCATGTTCATGAAAGAAATATCTATGGTGTAATTAAAAAATAACACTTACAGGTTAGGATTTTAAGTTTAGAGAAAAACATTACACTTAAGATTTAAAGCCGCAGGTATGTCAGTGATCAATTCACCCTTTTTTTTTTTTTTTTAAATTGATTAAAGTATTATGGGTAAATCAATTCCCTCATTTTTGAAGTTAAGTAACTACAGCCCAGAGAGGTGAAAGAGACTTTTGTTGGATTACCAGTGAATTCGTAACACAGTCAGGGCTGGAACACAAACCCCTAATTCCATGTCTTGGGCTCTTTCCGCTGTATGATTTGTCTTGGGATGGCTGAGTTTTAGGTAGCCCCATCTTCATGGAAGGCTTGCCCTCTTTTGGATTGTCTTGGGTAAAACAAGTCTTTGATTGGGAGCATTGCAAAGAGAAGGTAGTCAGTGTTCCGCTGATGATGAGGGAAAAATATTTGACAGATGTCACCATTTAGTATAGTGGAGGGAATGGTTAAGCAATTGTTGACTGGTTTGGTTCGGATTTGGATTCTAACTTGGTGTGTAGACCACTTGTACTGTAATAGCTGTCTTTGTGGATTATCTCTGGGCTATGATTTCTTGAAATGATTTAATTAGAGTTCATCTATTGCATATGCCTTGGCTGCATTTGATGTTTTGATATTTCCAAGTGTTACTGTATTGAAATGCTGCTTTTTTATTTAGGGCTTCGAGACTGTGAGATATACTTGATAGCTTTTAAAGAGTTTCTTTAATGCCTTTGGCCAAGGCCAAGTTTCAAATTTCTTGGCGTTATCGCTTGCTTTAATTTTACATTTGCATTTCAGAATCTTTATTGATAAAGTATCACAGGACTTAAGTATTTTGCTACTGGTTGCTAGAAAAAAAAATCTTGGAATATTTATTGCTTTGGTAAAGAATTTGCCTTAAGGAAATGATCTTGGGTAAAATAAACTCAGTTTTTCCTTTACAGCTTTCTTTTATATATAGAATGTTTTTATCTGACTTGAATACTAAAGTATTTCTCAGTACTGGTATTGAACTTCTTCAGGTACACCTAAGTCTTTTTCTTTCCCCAGGTTTTAATGGTACGGTTTGCGTCACTATTTGATGCCAAGGAACGCACTGTCACCTTTTTAAGTGGGAAGAAGTATAGCGTGGATGACTTGCACTCCATGGGAGCCGGGGACCTGCTGAATTCTATGTTTGAGTTTAGCGAGAAGCTGAATGGCCTCCAGCTTAGCGATGAAGAGATGAGTTTGTTTACGGCAGTTGTCCTGGTCTCTGCAGGTAAGCAAGCTGGTTCAGAACTGTGCCACACCTACATTATAAATGACCAACGGGGGAGAAGGTAGCAGGTAACAGGGTTACGGATTAACAGCTGTGAGAAGGAAGTAGAGAAGTTGTAACTGACCGGGACAGCAGAAAGTCAGTGTGATTTCTTAGGTAGAGGAACGACTACGCACGAACCAAGTGCTGCTTTAACATTACTTCTGCCTTGTTACCTGGGTGTGTTGGACAGGCGGGTCATTAGCGCTGGAGAGGCAGGTGGAGAGCCTGTGAAATAGCTTTAGGGCTGAGGCAGTGGAATGAGCACTTCAGAGACAGGTTGCAGCGGAGGCGGTGGAGGACAATGATGAAGACGATGGAGGACAATGATATCAGAGAAACTGAAGGAAAAAAATGAAGGCAGCGGGTGAGGCAGAGCTCTGTGCTAAGAACTCTGCTACTACCTTCATTTGTGTTTTCCACTAGGACCATGGTTTTTATTTTGTTAATCTCCTTTTGAAAAAGCCTTGTTCTGTTTCTTGACCATAAGAATAATGTGAATTCTTTGAAAAATTGAAAATAGTAAGATGAAATAAGAGTGATAATATCACCACCAAAAAGATAACATTAGGAGTCTCTCACTATCCATTCTGCTCTCTCTCCATTTATCCATTTGCCTGCTTATTGATATATGCTATGTAAAAAATGTTGGCCCTATTAAGTGGAAAACTTTAGAAAAGAATATATGCATTCTTATTTTTGTTATGTTCATATGAGAAGATATATAAGAAATATACATATATGCACAAGTCCGTGCATTTTAAAATAATATGTTTTCACTTAAATATATGATAGTATTCATGTCAAATTTAAATCTTTACCACTTTTAAAGGACTGATGTTGTTGTTAAAGCATTATTTAGGCAGGAAAATAAAATTCAGGAACTCCAGAAGAGTATTAAATGAAAATTCTTTTGCTACTCCGAGCCTGTTCTTCAGAGAACTATATTTCTAACTATCTTTCATTTTGATTGTTCTGATGTTTGCTAACTCAACTCTAAATACTATGCTTATACCTCTTTTTATTTACTAGCTATAACTGATAAATAAAAGTATCCTCTCACTTTCTACAAATTTTATTTTTTCAGTTACTGTATTGGTTTTATTTATAATTTCAACATGCTCACATTAAAAAAAAAAATTCTCGCCGATACCAGTTTGGCTCAGTGGTAGAGCATCAGTCTGTGGACTGAAAGGTCCCAGGTTCGATTCTGGTCAAGGGCATGTATCTGGGTTGCGGGCACATCCCCAGTTGGGGGTGTGCAAGAGGCAGCTGGTCGATGTTTCTCTCTCATCGACGTTTCTAGCTCTCTATCTCTCTCCCTTCCTCTCTGTGAAAAATCAATAAAATAAAATAAAAAAAAATTCTCACCCGAGGATATTTTTCCATTAATTATTATTATTATTATTATTATATGTATTTTAAAAATATATTTTATTGATTTTGTACAGAGAGGAAGGGAGAGAGATAGAGAGTTAGAAACATCGATGAGAGTCATCGATCAGCTTTCTCTTGCACACTCCCTACTGGGCAAATGCCTGCAACCAAGGTACATGACCTTGACTGGAATCGAACCTGGGACCCTTCAGTCCCAAGCCAATGCTCTATCCATTGAGCCAAACCAGTCTTGGCTAATTATTATTATTTTCTAGAGCAAGTAGAACCGAGAAAAGGAGAGGGGAGAGAGAGACAGAGAGAAAGAGAGAGAGAGAGAAATAACGATTGAGAGAGGCACATAGACCAGTTGCCTCCCACACGTTCCCTAACGGGGCTGGGGCTTGAACCAGATTGTGTGAAATGGCACCATTCGCTTTCAGTTGAAGATTAGGAACTGGCATGTAGGTATGAGACCAAGGCTCATATAGATTTTAGTTGTCTTCATAGAGGTTTTGTTGAAGGAATTTAACCTCCATTCTGTAGGAAGAGAATGTGCACAAAGAGGAGATTTGGTGAGGCTGGGGAGAGGGAAGCAGCGGCAGCTAAGGAAGTAGATGTTGGATGTGTCCGAGTTAAACTGCATAGTGTAGAATTTAGTGCATCATTTACAAGATGAATTTCCACTTCAGGCTGTGTATTCTGTTACAGTTTTATGATCTAGAGGATTATTGTTTTATGATCTAGCTAGATTTATAGTTAGGTTCTTTGGCCTCAAAGTCATGAAACCATGGATTTTTTTATTTTTATTTTTTAAAATATATTTTCATTGATTTTTTACAGAGAGGAAGGGAGAAGGATAGAGAGTTAGAAACATTGATGAGAGAGAATCATCGATCAGCTGCCTCTTGCACAGATGGTAGCATACAAATGCGGGTATATTTCATGTGAGATACAACTATATTTCTGAACTACACTATTCATTTTGTTTTGCCAATTAGGATTAGTTCAAATGAGCAGGTGGCATCTCATTAAAAAAAAAATCAGAACCTCTTACCTATTTTGTGAACACAAATACGTAAGCACAAAAGAATTTTGATTTAGCAAGTGAATAGCTGATACATATCTTTATAATATAATAAATAGCTGTAACAATTTACCACTGGGATTGAAAAACTTTGTCATTTATCTTTTGTCTGTGTTCCAATGTATAAAATCTTGTTTTGAATTCATGAATGCGGTCGATGAACAGGAATTATATGTATATTGAATGTCAATAATACATCCTCTCCTTCCTATTTCTCTATTCCTTACTCTGCATTAGATCGATCTGGAATAGAAAACGTCAACTCTGTGGAGGCTTTGCAGGAAACTCTCATCCGTGCACTAAGGACCTTAATAACAAAAAACCACCCAAACGAGGCCTCTATTTTTACAAAACTTCTTCTAAAGTTGCCAGATCTTCGATCTTTAAACAACATGCACTCTGAGGAGCTCTTGGCCTTTAAAGTTCACCCCTAAGGCCTTTGTTTATTGAACGCGAACTGAGTCATACTAACTGTACATTTGTGCTAAGATGCTTATTTATATGTGTATACTGTACCATATGTGGAGATAGGAAGGCCTCAGAGAAACACAAGATTGCAGGCCGTCTCTTTGTCATGCAGTAGCTGTTTGGATTGAGATTTTTGCAGCCATATGCTTAGACGTTGACCGCATTTCCCTGATAGACCAATCAGCTGTGTCGCACTTAACTGGAGAAGTTACACTGAATTATAGTTACACTGAATGTTAGACTTTTTCATCTGCCAAAACCAAAAACCATTTCAATCTCCCTGTGGTATAAATATAACTCACAGTCCCAAGTATATGAAGACTTAAAAATTAATCCTTTGTGGTGGAAGTTCTATTATATGATGGAAACTTGATTTTACCACAAGACTATTGGATCTGGTGATTGGAGACGATGTAGGTGAGATTTCCCTGTCTATTTTACTCTGCCACTGTTAGAGTAAAAGTGTATGATTCTGGGCGGGTTAGCTGGTTGTGGAAAAGGAGAATTGACAGGGTTTCCAATGCCCCACCTCACAAGATACTAAATAAATGTCTATAAAGCATATTTACCTCTTGGGAGATAGGCACTATGTAAATAAGGTAAAATTTTTGTTAGTATAATTGTTCATTATAATATTCTTTGCTGATTTGTAAGCATTTCTTAGAAATGATTTCATAGTCCACACCAGTCTATTCAGGGTTCCTGCATATGTGTGGGATATCATCCTGGCACACACATATTCAAAGTCTATGAGTACATCAAGTACATAGTATGTGTACATAATCTCTATGTGAATGTAGTTATACATATATTTCTTCACAATATTTTAAACTGTGAAGAACTTTATCATACAATAAACTTAAGAGGTGTCAAAAGACCCAAATTAGGTGCATTTTACCTATTGATGACATAACCATTGCTTTAAATGTTTAGACAGTAGAATATTGAATTTATGCTCTATTTTTGTTGAAGTAGCACTTACTGTAAAAATGCAATAGGCAGTCAAGTCCAAATTTCAGAAAATATGTACTTTAGAGTTCACCTTTGGTAAAAGTTTTGGTTCAAGAGAGAAGATGTTTAATAGTTTATTCAGATTCTTACCTTGAGCTAAAAAAGGTAACATTGCTGCCCCTTATGCACATGCTGCAGCGTGATGGTAAATAATATTTTGATTAGTTCTGAAGAACCAGTCAATGTTTAAGAAAGTTTAATATGTTGGTATGTATGTGTGTACACGAGCGGGTGAGCGCAAGTGTGTTCTCAGTCTCCCCCCCCCCCCCAAAAAAAATAACACTACAGGGATTTTATCAAATTAGATTCATTCTATAATTAGGAAAATCATTTAGTGTGTGATTTACAGGTTTAGAAGTGGTATAGTCAAAAACATTTCATTCACCTTTATTGGGTTTTTATTAAATAGGTAAGATCAACCACTTTATGGAAGTTGAGGATTTTATGTATGTTTTTCTGTTTCCCTAGAAAATAGCAATTAATTGTGTTTTTTTTGGGGGGGGATGGGAATAAAGATTGCCTTCTATATAATTTTTGGATTATATAAACTTGCAAAAATGAAAAGAGCCCACTTTACTATACTGACGTGAGCAGAATGCCTTATTTTGTAATCTTGTTTAACTTGTAGCTGTGGGTACTTGAGTTCCTGTGGCACTAGTTAAGTAAGTTAAAAATAAAGTTAAACCCTCTCATTATTAAAGAGGAAAGGTGATGGTGATGTCTGTAATACAATATAAACCATAATTGTGATTTACCTTAAGTAGGTATGACTCTTATGGGATATACAGTATAGTTTTGTGAATTCTTTACATGATAGCATTATCTTTTTATAATCCCCCCCCCCCCCCGAGATAAATGCATAGTTTTATTCTATGGGGAATAGAAACAGCTTTTTGAAATAATACTGAAAACCTCAAAGATCATATTGATTTTTAATTTTTGCCTTTTGCGTAAGCGTCTTTATAACATGTATCTTTAAGACAATTACTAAGTCTTTAGGAATGTGTAACCAGAATATGTTAGTATTGCTTATAAAACCTTAGTTAGGTTCAATATATACATGTGTATGTCAATGTATAGGTATGTAGATTTGCATTTTGTCTTGTAAAATTTTATTTGAATGAATTCTTCCTGTAGGTAATGGGAAACAAAATTAATAATTCATATACCACTCATAGCATTTCTATATTTTAAAATAGCCCAACATTGAAACTTCTAATTCTAAAATTAAACCAGCAGTCTATTACAAGCACATTTTTTGATTGGGTCATTGGTTATAAACTTAACAAAATGCAGAGAAGACAAACCAGTTTTAGGAAACTTCTGAGTCGGTGGGACACTGTTGATTAATTAATATTGTACTGTATGAATTAAGTGATGTTTTAACTTGTGATTTTTACATTTTAAAGTTAAAATATGGGCATTATGTCAGCACACTTTAAGGGCATTATGTCAGCAAGCTAAAACTTTCTCCCCCTGTGCTTTTAATGTGTCTCTTTACATGATCTGAAAAGAGGATTCAAGCTTTTAGAGAGAAATAGCTGAGGGAAATGGGTAACATCTTCTTGGAATGCAGCTTTTTCTTATGGCAATGGTTTAATTGCAGATTAAAAAATTAGAAGGATTAAGTGTATAATTTTCATATCGACATTTCAAGAAATTACCATTGTAACTTGATAAGATATGAGTTATTTTATGTAAACATCATCATTGCAAGGCAAGGTGTAGAAGCTCAGCTAGATTAATTACTGTGCACGAGAGTAAGTACCTATCTCAACTATTCTTTTTCCTTTCCAATATAAAGTTTGCTGAATGTATAAGAAGAGTTTATCACTTAGGATATAGATTTTTTTTAGGGGTTGGGGGGAGGGGTTCTGTAAAGAAATAACCTATAAGTGAAGATTATCTTGATTTGATCTGAAACAAAACTTGAAGCTGTTCTTGGACTAACATGGAAAAATAAAATGGCTGTTGTTTAAAAAAAAAAATGGTAGAAATACATTGTTGACAAGATATGAATTAAGTTTATTTTCTACAAACTTGTTACTGATGAGGACATGGGTAACACCTTCCATGTTTCTGGAAAGTAATCTGTATAATACATGGTGGGAGGGGATAATAAATATTATTTCTAATCAAGTGTGGTTTTGGTATCTTTCTTTCGACGTTTTTGTAAGACCATTTAGAATTTATCATTCACCTTTTCTTGAACGTAGCAGGGTCTCTGAAGTAAATCTTGAATTTAGAACGAGAATGTCTGTGCATAAATTTTTTTTTAACAGTTTAAACAAATATTTTTTTAAAATTGATTTCAACGAGGAAGGGAGAGAGATTGAAACATCAATGATGAGAGAGAATCATTGATCGGCTGCCTCCTGCAGACCCTGTAATGCGAATTGAGCCCACAACCTGGGTATGTGCCCTTGACTAGAATTGAACCTGGGACCCTTCAGGCCAACACTCTATCCACTGAGCCAAACTGGCTAGGTGCTCTTATTTTTAGAAGAAGGTTTTAGAGTTTGTTTAGAGATTCCAGCAAGGATTGTTTCCTACAATGCCAGCTGGTAGTGGCTTGCCATATCTGGCAAGGTAGTCTTTCTGGGAAGGAGTTGTTGAGAGGAGGGGGGGACTCTATCTCGTCAAGAATCAGTCTTGGCCATGAATGGGATAAGGTGCCTCAGCACCCGCCTCCACTCCACCTCCAACATCCTTTCCTAGCGGTTGTGGCCATGCTGGGGAAGTAAAGACAAGTTACTTAAGTGGGCATTCCCTGTGTGTGTTTCCCAGACCAGTAACATCTATTCTGGGGATATGAAGTGATGTTAGGTGGAGGAAAATAGGCTTCTTGTTTAAATGCATTTGGAAATGCCAGGATAAACAAGGTTACTGAGGTGTCTCTATGTCAGCCCTGTTCTCTGATGGGTGAATGTGCGTTGTGAATCCTTTGAGGTAGTGTTCCCCAAACTTCCTCCGCCAACTTACCCCCTCTTCTTGTGCTAAGCACTTCTTGGGGCTCCCTGGAAGGGGTGCTTGCAGGAGGAAAAAACAGTATAACTTACTTTTGGGAGTTGATAACGATGTTAACCATGTGCTGTGGGTTATTACATACATTTATGTTGTATTTCGTCCCCCTTTTCTACAGTATAATAGGAAACATTGAGCTAGAAATAAGTGTGTGGTTGATGGAAAATAGGTTAAATTCCTTCTAAATCTGGAAACGCTGCATGAATAGAGACAGCCAATTCATGGATCTGGTTTTAGTTTTTACACTCGGTTGGACCTGTTAACATTTTGGCATTAGCTTCCTTCATTGTTCGTCTGTCTAAAAGTTTATTTAACAACTGGCCAGTGAGCTGGCAGCCATGTGAGAGCAGCTCTTCACAGCGGGAAAGTTGGTTGCCCTGGGGTGGTTTTTCAGACACCAGAGGATCAGAGCCACTTAGAACAACATCGGGGTGGAATGTGTGTAGTAGCGAGAAGGCCTGTCTTGAAGGAAGCACAGAATCTCTCCAGAGACTCTCAGCGGGCACATACTGACAGTCAAGACTGACTGGTGACCTCCACCTTCAGTTTCCACTGATTTCCAGTAACGTCCTCGGGAGAATCTAAGCAAATGATAAGAGATGACCAAATCCACATCCCACGACTAGCACCTCAAACAAGAAAGCACAGGGAAGGTCCTCCATGTTCTGGAGGTGCTATCATTGCCCAAGGTGTGCCCTAACGTAGGGCAGAAACAATCAGCTTGGTGCTTCCTGCTAGTAAAAATGACAAGTCCCCAAAAGGGAAGGAAGAATTGCCTATCTTTTGAGATTTAAATATTCTCAACATTGACTGAGGATGGAGGATACCTTTTGTGATCCAGTTGTGATTCTGCTTTTCAAGGACCTTAAGGCTGTCTCTTCACCTTTCTGGTTCAGTTCCCTTCTATAAAGTGAGGGATTGGACTGTATGCCCTCCAGCAACCTTCTAGGGCTACCAGTTGTGGTATGATTTGTAAACAATGCAGCTGAAAAGATTATAGAATGTGTTAGGGGTGCTTGGGGGTGGGGTGGGCAGAAACACAGTTCCTGTAGCTAAAGGTTGGCAGATTACCCTTGCCATAACCTGGTGTGACATGGCACACAGATGGCCACCTGCCCACGGTCCTGGTGGTGTGACTCCCTGCTCCTTTGCCCTGCCTCAATGCTCCAGGCTCCTGGTACCTTTGCTCAAGGTCACCTCTCAGGACTCTGGGACAGGAGGTGTGCAGGCGGAGGAGTTGTATCGAGGTGTTTCGTATCCTCCCAGGCTCCAATGCCCAGTGAAACCGGGGAAGGTCAAAAAGCACGGAGAACGGTGGGAAAGCCCTGGCACTGAGCTCACTTGTCACTTCTCCAGTGGGTCCTGATGTTTAGGTAAACAGTTCATGCTCAAGATGAGCTCTCTCCTGCACTGCAGCACCTTCCCATTTTGATCCTAACAAAAATGTCAGTTTTTGTAGTCAAAGAGTGTAAAATATTTTGGAGTTGATTCACTCATTTCTTTCCCTAGTTCTTTTTTAATTCTCTCAAGGAAGTCAGGAACATTTTTACCATATAAAACCAAAAACTTTCATCTATTGACACTTCCAAGACTCTTAGCTGGCAAAGTCAAAAGATTTTTTATAGTGAACACCCACCTGTATTTTGCCATTAACATGCACTTGTTTATTACATATCTATATTTCCATTCATTCATGTTGGGGTTTTAGAAAATGCATTTCAAAGTAAATTGCAGTCACCAATAACCTGCTTCCTAAAATTTTCAGCTTACATATAATTTACTAGAATTGAGTATTAATTTGCAGTTGGTTCTTTTTAAAAATATATATATTTTATTGATTTTTTACAGAGAGAAAGGGAGAGAGATAGAGAACTAGAAACATCGATGAGAGAGAACATCTACCAGCTGCCTCTTGCACACCCCCTGACCGGAATCATACCTGGGACCTTTTAGTCCGCAGACCGATGCTCTACTACTGAGCCAAACCGGCTTTGGCTGCATTTTGTTCTTTTGATGCTGATTATGAATTTGGGGCCAGGTAACCATGAGGGATCCTTTCCAGTAAGTGTATATATATTTTCTTTATTGATTAAGATGTTACATATTTCTTTTTAAAAAATTATGGTTTTATTGATTCAGAGAGAGGAAAGAGAGAGAGAGAGAAACATCAATCCTGCATGCTGCCTCCTGGGGATCAAGCCCACAATCCGGGCATGTGCCCTGACCAGTAATCAAACTGGCGACCTCCTGGTTATTGGAACAATGCTCAATCACTGAGCCACACCACTCGGGCCCAGTACACCCACGAGGGAAAGATCTGTTTTAGGCCTCCCTCCTTGGCTTGTAGATGTCTGTCTGCTCTTTGTGTCTTCCCATCATCTTCCCTCTGTATGTGTCGGTATCCAAATTTCCTGTTCCCATAAGGACACTAGTCAGCCTGGATTAGAGCTCACCTTGAGTGACTTTGCTGTAACTTAATTACCTCTTTAAAGAGCCCATCTTTAAATACAGTTATGTTCTTGGGTTTAGAACTTCAACATACAGATTTTTTGGGGGAAGTCACAGTAGAGCCTACAGCACTTGGGAACCCTGGTCATTTGGTTTAAGGGTCTGTTTTTCCCCCAGGTCCCCAATTGTGAGCTTATAGAGAGGTCAGAAACTGGGTCTCTCTTGCTTTTATAGCTCTGGTGTCTTAAAAAATGCCCAACAGTCTCTCAGTAAATTATTTAAATAGATTGACTATTGATGGAGGAGTTTTCTGATATTTTTTGGAGTTATAAAATTAAAAATCGTGTGTGTGTGTGTGTGTGTGTGTGTGTGTATGTGTGTGTGCAAAGCACACATCTAACTCAATGTGGTCCCAGGCCTTTGTTGGAGGAAGTCCGATATAGGACACTGACTGGCTGAGGTCTTACTACCTCGTGTTGCTCTGGATTTCTGAATTGCTTAATCCTGCTGGCTTCTTTTGTGCAGTGTGTGTGAATAGTGGGAGCATTCTTCTGGGGTCATAAAAGAGGCTTGGCATGTAAACACTTTCAGAACTTGTTTATTTTCTTCTTTTCCGTCTGAGAGTTCTTGAAAAGAAAACAACAACAACAACAACAACCTTGCTTTCTTAATCATAGCAGGGCATTCTCGGTGTTTGTATTTTTAGCGCTCAAAGTCAGACTGTATTAAACAGATAACTGTCCATAACAGGTAGCACGCTTTATTTGCTAGGGATTTTCGGTTGTTGCTTTTCAGTTTAGTGGGCAGTTGAATTACTGGTTGCCATGGCAAACCTACCCATTGCCCACGTTGCCTGGGCCTTAAAGACTCAGAAACACAGAAAGCATATTTGGCTTTATTCTATAGAGCCGACATTGTTATAAAACAGAGCAAGTGAATGCCGAATTATGGCAGACATCCTGCCCCTGCCTCTCTTCCCTCTCCGCCCCTCCTGTGGTTTCTGTGTTTACCAGGCCCCTGAATACCCGTGTTAGAAATTGTATAACTTGGTCTCTGGAGTTCTTTCAAGAAAATAACCATGTTTCTGTCTCCTGTGCAGACCCGTTGCCTTTGTTGGTGACATGCTGTGGGAGTTAAGAAGCTCTGGGGCCCTGGCCAAGGTGGCTCCCTCCATTGGTCGCAGCATTGTCCCCAGTACACTGAAAGGTGACAGGTTCGATTCCTAGTCAGGGTACATACTCAGGTTATGAATTTGATCCCCAGTTTCTCTCTTCCTCTCTCTCCTCCTCTTCTCTCCCCATCTCTCCGCTTTCTAATATCAATTTTTATTTATTTGTTTTTATTATAATTTTAAAAATATATTTTATTGATTTTTTACAGAGAGGAAGGGAGAAGGATAGAGGGTTAGAAACATTGATGAGAGAGAGACATTGATCAGCTGCCTCCTGCACACCCCCTACTGGGAATGTGCCCACAACCAAGGTACATACCCTTGACTGGAATCGAACCCGGGACCCTTCCGTCCACAGGCTGACTTTCTAGCCACTAAGTCAAACCTGACACTAAGACAACTTCTAATCCAATGCCCCACCTGAATGAAAGAAGTGTGGTCACACGACAGAAGTTGGTCATTTGTCAAGTCTTGCATTGGAGAAGTTTAACT